GACCCGCCCTGGAGCCCTCCCGCGGTCCCTCCCTGGCTGGCCAACCTCCCATGTCCCTCTCTGGCCCCGATCATGCACCAGTGGGGTCTCTCGGCCTGGCCTGTGCCCTCTCGCAATCGGGGACCCCTCGGAGGATGTCAGGGAGCCGGTTTTGGCCCAATCCTGCAGGCCAGGCCAAGGGACCCCACTGGTGCACGAGTTCGTGCATTGGGCCTCTAGTCTTAGGATAACATCGGAAATGCAAATTCTCTATAGGTGTCAATTCAGTGCTACTCATTCTTCAAATGGAATCCCCTGAATACAGGCTCAGGGAGAAATCAAGTAACAACTTAATAACCTATGATGGAAAGAGATTTTTATATGTACTTGACTGGGTGATTCAGCTACGCACTAAAGATCTTCAACACAGAATTTCATAAAGTTGCTTTTATTCATCTATTTTTGGAGTGTCTTAAGAGGTGCATCCTCTTTTGGGTCTATCATTTTACCCAGGTAGCTCGTGATGACAACTGGCATTTGAAAGCTCCACTGACACTCATTAACCTCAAGTCAAGCTTTATACTTTATGTAAGTCAAGCAGGAACTTTGCAAAGGGTATGTGTTCAACGTGTTGAAATCAGATCTCAAGCATCCGTCCATCACTTTCTGTCACATTTAATTCTAATTCAGAATGTGTTTCCAGAAAGAAAAAACAAATTTTCTCAAGTTAAAAAAAATTCTGGACTCTGTTCAAATTAGAGAAAGGATAATTGATAATATTTTACAATTTGAAATCTCTCATTTGACTCTCAAGTTGGACTGATTCCAAAACGTTTCCCTATAGATGAAGAATGTCAAATATCACCAGAGTAAACATCTAAACCACTTGTGAAAATCTGATAAAAGTTATGACTTTTTTTCCTTAAAACACTGATCCTGCACATACACATTCTAAAATTTTTCCATATTATTTCAGGTGGTCTTGTATACTGTATGGCTGTCATTGACTCTACTGTAAGTCAATGAATTCCTGGTTAAAAACTTTGACTGTATACAGGCCAAATGTCAACCACCTGCACAATATATTCTATGCTACCAAGGACACATTTGCTCAGAATAAAGAGTAGAGAGATAGGAGCCAATTTCACCAATGATGCCCCGAGATAAACCTGAGCATTCCCTAAAAAATTTGCAGACATCCCATTCTCACCTCAGAAACTAAATAAAGATGCATAACTCATGCTACCCTCAGCCACATGCGGCTATTTGGCCCCTTGAGTGTGGCTCTTCCACAAAATACCGACTTCTGCACACGGGCCACAAAGTTTCAATCGCACTGTACATGAGCGCCGGCACGTGGTATTTTGTGGAAGAGCCACACTCAAGGGGCCAAATAGCCGCATGTGGCTCACGAGCCGCAGTTTGCCGGCCACTGCCCTAGACCCAGAAGAGGCCAACAGGAAGTAAACATACAGGAGCGATATAGAAATTTCGCATTATTTTTTGTCTTCCTGAAAGGAGTTATAAGAGATTTGGGGGAAAAGGAAAAAGCTACTGCCTAGCTAGCAGAGTTTCCAATTTTCCCCCCCACCCAAGTAAGCCATGCCAGACCAAAAATATATATATCAAAAACATTCTTTGACACCCCGAAAACAAGGAAATAGAGTGCTCCTACGCAGGAGTCGGTTTCCTGAATGAGTATAGGTTTCTGGATTCCAAAGAATTCCAGATCACAGATGGGAAAGGAGCTGATGACATGCCTCCAGGAGGGCTCTTCCAAAAATAACACTTACAGTAAAAGGTCTGCTGGCAGTCAAAACCTACCCAGATGGCTGTTCTTATTGGCTTTCCCTACTGCCCACCCACTAAGGACCCTTAAGGAAGGGATGAGCCAGCCAAGTCAAAGAGCAATTCTAGGTACTCGGCCAACCCTCCTCTTGACCTCTGCCCTCCTGCACGCATTAGGGAGGATTCGCAATCACTCCCTCTCACCAAGTTCCAACTCTCAGCCCAACGGTCATGACGTTTTCCTCACTGGGCTTAAAAAATGTGGTGTATTTAGGAACTCACCACTGCTAACTTTTCTAGTTTGTTATATGCTACTTTCAAGTTTCTCCCTGAATCCTATAGCATTTCAGTCACTCTGGGGTTAGCCCTGGACTCACTCTAGTGGACAAGTGAGTCTCTCTCTCTCTCTCTTCCTTAACTACTAAAAGAAACTTAGCTAAGTGCTCTGGAAAGAAGAAAGCACAATTCTCTTCTCAACACAAATCCTGAATTATGTTTCAGCAAAACATAGGCACACTCCTTCCTTGCTTTCTGAACAGTGGATAAGCCCCACGAAAGTAGGTCCAACTCAGAGTCCTCAGGAACGAGGGCAGCGTCTGGCACAGAGAAGACCTCAAGTACTGGTTGAATGAATGACTAGCTTACTAATAACCCTTACTTCCTTCTATATCACTCTCTAAGAATATTGTCTACTGGATCCTAAGCATTCGAATAAGCCCATTACATAATAGATATTCAATATTTGCTGACTAACAGGCAGAAAAAGTACTAAAAGACAGGCTATGAATGTTTCTTAAATGTGCTGACTGGCTACCTTAAAGCACAGGTGAACTACTCCGTATTTTAGATAGGCTACTAGCAGCTGGAATGTTAACTTCATCTAGTTCCCACAAGATAGAGTTTGTCAGGATTTTCTTCTTTGGGAAATGGAAGTTTAGGGTAAACATGACCTGCCTCCTCCTGAGACCAGTAACTGCTATCTGCCAGCATCTGACAAGATGAGAGTGTGATGATAAGCACTTTCAGCAGGGCTACTTTAAGGGCAGGGAAATCGAGGACCAGCAACTAGCCAGCAGCACTGCCAGCTTGGTCTGCAGAAGTTTCTCTCAAGAAAGGTTGTCTGTGGGACTACAAACAAGGAGTGACAAACAGCTGGCTCCAGAGAGCCAATATTCTGGGAAAACATGGGCAATTTGCAAGTGCCTGCTTTTTGAAATGCTTCAAAGATTCTGCAGGAGACGACCAGGACCCCAAACCTACGTGCACCACTCACTCAGCAAGCTGCTAATAGAAATTTAATCCACGGCTGAGCAAGCAACCTTACATTGACTCACGGGGCTTTGGAGGTTTCCTGGCTTCTGGGTGACACGGGATGGAAAGGGTCCTGTCTTGTCTCCAGCATTCACAGCCCAGTAAATCTCTGCCTCATTCTTTGGAGAGCAGAGTTCCACCCCTCAGGAGCCATAGCCAGGAAAAGAGCAAATCCACACCATACTAGGAAAGCGACTCAAGAGGAGACGCCCTGCCTGAGTTTGAATAATCTTCCACGGAAGGAACACAGCCACTCCGGAAGCATGTTTTAAAACAAACTCTGGGGGCAAAGCCAAGAGGGAAGTGAAGGAAGAGACAAGAGGGAGATGTAAACGCTTCCCAATGCAAGCGGAAGCACAAGGGGCCCAAACCCAGAGACCTCCTCGAAGGCACTGCTTCCACATTCCCACCCTCCCTGCCCCAAGGTAATGAATGACCCTCACAAACCAGGAGCCTTCCCCTACAGCTGGCATATAAAACTCTTAAGCAGATTTCATTTGATCAGATAACTCCTCCAGCTATGTGTTCCTAGACCCGTGGTCGGCAAACTGCGGCTCTCGAGCCACATGGGGCTCTTTGGCCCCTTGAGTGTGGCTCTTCCACAAAATCCCACGTGCGAGCGAGCACGTACAGTGCCATTGAAACTTCATGGCCCATGTGCAGAAGTCGGTATTTTGTGGAAGAGCTACACTCAAGGGGCCAAAGAGTCGCATGTGGCTCGCGAACCGCAGTTTGCTGACCACTGCCCTAGACCAAAAAACAAAGAAATTGTTCAGAAATCCTGGGTGATGAATATGACTGAGTATTATACAGTCAATAACATGAGTATAAATCAGGTTAAAATAGAAAAAAGATGAAGTTAAGAGAAACAGAAAGGAGCCAATGGCTTGTATGCACCCGCTGTGAGCCCAGCTTAGGAAAGCCTCACCCAGAGGTGGGTAAGGACCAGCGGGAAATATGCAAAACTGAGAACCACTTCTGTATCCGGCTTGATGTCACCCTATCGCTGGGACAAGAGAATAAGGAAAGTTCTAAAAGAAAACTTTTGACATGGCACCTCGTATCCCACGGTAAGAAAAACAGAGCTGCCGGTGAAAAAAAAAGAGACTATGTTGGCAGTAGCAGTCAATGCACACACGGCACTGACAGCCTGCACAGCCCACCTCCCCAAACGCCGTCACCAGCTTCCAGACAGGAGACACGCTGCATGTGAGTGCATATCGCTCAAGAAGGACTGAGATGGTTTTGCAAATGAATCACTCGTGGGAAGCCCAGTGATTCACTGTCCTTACTGGTGTCGGGGGTATCCTCCGGGTAGTAGGACACTCCGGGACTGTCTTGGTCTTGGGTCGGGTGAGCAGTAGGAAAGTGGGTGTGGATGATGTAACTTTCTGGAGTGCTTCTTTCACTGTAGGACCCACTGCTGGTGTCATATTCAGCAGTGGTGTTGTTGATGTCATCAGGGTTAGTTCTGTATTCGCCCTTCTGGGTGTAGCGGGTACCATCCCGGTTAACAATACCTGGGGGAGAGAGAGAAGGCCCTTTTAGAAGGTGACAGCTGACACTTTCTGAGTATAGAAAAGACTGTGAATTATCGCCTAAGATGGTGACTGTAAAGCTACTTTTCTTTTTTATTAGGAAAAGCAACACCTAAACTACCTGTCTAGTGGGGGGATGTGTGGCTGAAGCATTGAGAAGAGTGCACACTCCCCTGACCACTCACGCACCTGGAAATTGAAGAGGGAAAAAGAGATTGTGTTTGGGAGTTGCCGTGTTGGGATTCCAGTGTTGTGTGGCTCCAGGCAAGGTAGGTACCTCTCTGAGCCTCAGTTTTGTCATTCCGTTATGAGCATAATGTAATATTGTGTGTAAAGTGCTTGCACAGTATTCAAAATATAGTTGGTGCTCAATAAGTGCTAAGTCTCCTGCCTGGCCCCTATTGCCCTTCTCAAGCACATGTCAACTTTGTGCTATTAGTTCCACCGATTTCCAGAGAGGATAAGAAGGAGGAGACACAGAGGCTATTAGCATCAGCAGGGAATATATAGTTGCAAACTCACGCAAGAATTAGATTTTCTTTCTAAGGGTCCAGTTTTGTCAGTTTAAGTGAATCCCTACTCCTGGATCAGAAATTATCATGCTTGAGTACTGACAAAGCCTCTGTCATCCTCAATGAAATTCAACCTTGAAATTAGGAAGCACAGATGTATATTAAGATCAAAATCATTGGTTTAAACAAGAAAATGACTAGAATGGACAGGAGGAGGAAACGCAAGGTTGAATTCATTCATTCTTCTCTGAAAGTATTTGCCGCCTTCAAACCCGGGCTACTCACTGCCCAAGTGTGCATTTATCTGAAGTTATTTTCTGCTGTATTGCACTGGAAGGTCTGAAGATTTCTTTTGTCCACCTATCTAGCTTGCCCAAGTGGAACTATTCATAAATTTAAAAACATTCCAAAGTCTCGGTCACCCTGATAATCTCTGCAGATGAGAATCTGATAAGGAAATATGACCACAGTTGCACAGGTCTGGACTTCAGAAGACATCTGTGGGGACCAAGGAAGTGGGACATTTATTGAGCATCTACTATGGACCAGGCATGCATTAGACATATGCTTTCTCTTCATTCTCAGGGGGAAAAGTCACATATGTTGTTTCATTACCCAGATGAGAAATGGAGGCTCAGAAAGAGTAAGTCGCTCCTCTAAGTCCGCCCAGGTAGTAAAGTACTGGGATTCCACACCAGGCATGACTGAGACAGCACATCTCACCCCGAAGGCCTCCACTTCCTAGTGCAAGGCACAGGCCAGGGACAAATCCCTCCATAACAGTGGGGGCTGGATTTGTGTGGTCCAGGAAGATTCTTGCCCCCCCTGCCACTGTCACCACTATTCCTAGGCACACTGAGAGGTCTGGCTCTTAGCAGGCAGACATCAGGCCTCCTCAGCACTGTCATACTTTCTCAAGAAGTAAGGTTCAGAGGCAATAAGATCAGAGATAACAAGTCGACCTCTTTGAAAGTTTTGTTTGGGACACTGTTTTCTACAGTGCCAGATGTCTACGTCTGGGGATCACTCAAATAATGTTGAATCACATATCAGGAAGTTTATACCCTTTATAATTATCTTTCAATACTCCAGTTAAATCAAACACAAAATCGTGGGGGCTAGAATGTCCCTATCCTACCTCTTAATAATCCCCCTCTGTGAGAGAGAACACAGTTCAGAGCCTTCAGCTGCTAGAATTTAAGAACATTATTTAATTTCCCCTACATTAAAATTTATTTTTAAGGGTACCTTCTAATGATGTCCAGGGATGCTGGCCTTTCATTTGCAGTGTGTGTGTGTGTGTGTGTGTTTAATCATTCTAAGTAGAAAAGAACGGGTCAATTAAATGAAAAAACAAACAACAACAAAAATCAATAATAGTGCTGTGTACATAGAAGTGCCCAAAAAAAGTGAGAGTGGTTTTCAAATGACTGAAGCTTGAGAAACAGTGCATTGGGTAAACCAGATAGAAGTTTTAAGCCATCGAAGAAAAAGAGGAAGGAAGAAGCCTTAGGGAAATGACTGCTATTCTAGTCAAATATAAAACATTGAAAATGCACTTGATCCCTTTCCCAAGAACAAGGAAAGGCAACCAAAGTTAGAAGAGATACGTACTTATGGATACCTCTCCGTCAAAGGCATTGGTCAGGTTTGTGATTGCGGTACAATCTTCTCCTTGCGGTGCTATGAGGTGAAAAAGAAAAAAGGCATGAGAACTCCAAAAAGTATGAGCAAAATCAATTCCCATTTCTTTTAGTTAATTAGTATGGAGTTTCATTATAACTTATCGCAAATATTTTCCTTTTCTGAAATTTGGTTAAGTCTCCTGGGAACTTCCTTGGCCTTTGTGATGCATTTTTTCATTTTTATTTTGCTTTACACATTTTTTTGGAAGCTCACTTGTTATTCTTCCCATCCCAACAAATTCATTCATTAACAAATACATATGTTCTATATCAGGCATTGTGGAAGGCTGGGGGTACAACGATGAATAAGATAGGCATGGTCTTTCTCTAATGAAGCACACATTAGAGTTGCTTGTCAGCAAAGAGCAAGGAAGAAAGGAATGTATGGATGGATGGATGGATGATTGGTTGGATGGATGGATGGATGGATGGTTGGATGGGTGAATGGAGGCAGGCAGGCAGATTGCTATCACAAGGAAGGCTATTATCACAAATATTTCAAGTGTCCTGCCATACACCACTTGGTATCATAACATTAGACAAAAACACAAGCTGAACAAAACAGGGATTGGTTGCTTCCCAGTTCCTAGGAGATCTTTTCCCATAGATAAAGGGATGTCCTTTACCTGCCTATTTCTTTGGCCTCATAGTGAAACTAAAGGGCAGCAAGTTTTAGGAAAAGCCCTTCTTGCAAAGGCTGATTCAAAGATTTCTCAGAAGAGAGACTCTTCAAAGAGAAAGTTGCCTCCTTGGGAAGTACATTCCTCACCATCCAATGTAAACTAGCCCCTCAACACTCCCCCATGCCTGTCACCATCACACCTGGTCTGCTCTCATTTCTTCCTCTACCGCTACCTACAATTATCATGTTCATTTTCCTGGATGGCTGCTCATGGCACATCTCCCAAACCCTACCACCTGCTGCACACCCACCTCCATAGAAATATTTAAGCTCTTGCCATAGCCGGTTTGGCTCAGTGGATAGAGCGTCGGCCTGCGGACTGAAAGGTCCCAGGTTCGATTCTGGTCAAGGGCTTGTACCTTAGTTGCGGGCATCTCAGAAGAGAGACTCTTCAAAGAGAAAGTTGCCTCCTTGGGAAGTACATTCCTCACCATCCAATGTAAACTAGCCCCTCAACACTCCCCCATGCCTGTCACCATCACACCTGGTCTGCTCTCATTTCTTCCTCTACCGCTACCTACAATTATCATGTTCATTTTCCTGGATGACTGCTCATGGCACATCTCCCAACCCCTACCACCCGCTGCACACCCACCTCCATAGAAATATTTAAGCTCCTCAAGATGAGTAGGAGCCTCATCTGTCTTGGCCAGGATATTTATGTGTGATGGGGTCAGAGAGGGGCTCAAATATTTGTTGAATGAATGAAAAGGGAAAAAAGTCCATTCTTCTAGTAAACACACCTAAGATGGAAACCCCCAAATAGTCCGCAAATATAAACAGGTCAAAAAACATTTAGATAAACCCTGAATGGCAATGCCATGAGAAATAATTAAAGGCAGCTCCAGATAAATCAGTCCATGTATTCATTATTTTAGGTATTTACTTAACACATAATAAAAAGGAAGCCAAAAAAAAAAATGTTCTTGTCCCTGCTTTTGAGGAATTCACAAGATCATGAAGGGCAATAATAATTAACATTCTTTAGATTTTTATAGTTTTCAAAATATTTTTCCAATAAATCCCTCATTTAAGAATCAGGGCAAATAGTCGATCTAGGTGATGTTGAAGAGCATCTACCCAGTCTGCCTGGGGCGGTTGGGGGGGAACACCACCAGAACTGGCCTGACCTGTGACCTGCTTCTGACATTGTTACATTATACAGGCCCAGAATCTGACCTTGGATTATGACTTCTTAATGGCAGGAATGGAAGAACACCCCCCTCCCCCCAAATTCAAACATAACTGCAGGTTACACTGGGAATTTCTAGGAGTTAAGTTGTAATAGAAGGGGGCATGATGTCAAAAACTCTAAGAGAGTTTTGTAAATGATTAGAGCATTTGTTCAAATGGACCCCCTTCATGCTCCAATTCACCTTAACTCTTATGAAGAACATCAAATCTGGCAGGCACGCTGGCAGGATGGTGACCCAAATGTGCAATCAATACATTCATGCTCCCGTGTCAGACAGCAGGGCCTCATTAGAAGGCCTTTCATTCTGTTTAATGAGCATTGTGTTGCTGGGAGAAACAGGCCTGGTGGGGTCTTCCTGAACCTAAAGATTTGTTAGAAAGACTCTGAGGTGAGCTTCCTGGTGGGCTGCATCTCAAAACCTTGCCTCCACTGCACCAAAAACAGCCAAGGAAATGGTTAACTATTCAGTCTAGCCCACCACTCGGCCCCAGATAGAAAGATACCTTCCTCAATGCCTGATACATTCTAGGTATCCAATAAATATTTGTTCAATAAATGGGTGAATGAATACACAAGTAAATATAGAATCTTCCCTAAATTTCTCCTTCAAAAGCGAGGCGTTTTATTCAAAGCCAACTTTAAAAATGAACTCATTCAAGTGAGTCCTCTGTTGTTTACACAGAAGCCACCAGGCTCATGCTGGGCCTTCTCGCTGACAGATGAGGCAATAAAAATCACCAAGCCTTTGCAGGGTCTGCCTTATTTTCATTTGGAAACCACAGGCTGTGTTTTATAAAAACATTGCTGAAATTGTAAGCATGCAGAAGCTATCTGCTAAGATTGAGCTGGCTTTGGTCCCTGCAACCAGTTTGCCGGGGGAGGGGCGTGGAGGGCATCACTGGGTCCTGCTGGTAGTTCTCAGGCTGAGTTGGATGCAAGGATGTTTCCACTGAGATCCGTCACATTGTGCGGAGGTTATCAAGATCTGTAGCTCACTTAATATCCCCATCATCTGACTCTCAGCCAAGACAGTTTAATGAAAGCAGTTTATCTTTAGATAAACATTCTTCTTAACGCCTTCACTTTTTGTCTTTGTTGCTTCAACAAGATTAACTCTCAAGATAAGAAATATGGTCCCCTGCTCTTTCTCATTCCACTCTGCCCGGCACAGTACTGAGCGCACATAGGCGATCAACCAACAGACTTAAAAACTTCAAGAAAAACTTATAAAAGCAGCCTACCCATATCGAGTAAATTTGGAAAAGAGAAAAAGGTAAATGTCACTCTGAATTTCACGACTTTAATACAGCCACTTTGCTATGCAGTACACCCCCAGGACTTCTCAACTTTTCACCCCCAAAGAGGAGAGAAGTGAACAGTACTCTACACTCACTTCTCTGAGGACAGGCCCAATCTTTTGGGCAAAAATAAGGACAGGGAGAAAAGTCTCTGTAGTAACTTGCCTAGATGACTTCATTTCCAGGCAATAAAACAAGGTGAGCTTCTACCTTTTTGAATTAAGGCTCTTTTCAGCAAGTGACAGCAACTTGTAAATCAGGTGAGACAACGTGGATATGCAACAGCATAATTTATTGCAGACATTCACTCAACACAGCTCAATGGGAGACAGAGCAGGCAGAACCCAGACACTCTAAGGCAGCGGTTCTCAACCTGTGGGTCACGACCCATTTGGGGGTCGAACGACCCTTTCACAGGGGTCGCCTAAGATCATCGGAAAACATATATAATTACATATTGTTTTTGTGATTAATCACTATGCTTTAATTATGTTCAATTTGTAACAATGAAAATACATCCTGCATATCAGATATTTACATTATGATTCATAACAGTAGCAAAATTACAGTTATGAAGTAGCAACGAAAATAATTTTATGGTTGGGGGTCACCACAACATGAGGAACTGTATTAAAGGGTCGCGGCATTAAGAAGGTTGAGAACCACTGCTCTAAGGTATGCAGTCTGGTGCTAGCCCTTTTCCATAGGGCCAACCCCCTCACCTAAAGCACAGTCTTCCCAACTCTCCCATGAGCTCTGGCACTAAGATAAGCTAGCTAGTCCACATGTGGCTCTGTGTCTATTTCCTCATTATTTGCATGGGGTTTTTCTCATTCTCATGTCATTAGAATGGACATTCTGGGTATGGTTATGGGACCTAGGTATGGGCCATATACTGTGTACCCTCAGTTGGACTAGCCTCCTTTTGGTCAAATGCCATTTGTGTTCTTTGTTCATATGACAGGGAGGAGTAAATAGTCTACATTTTTCTCCTAATTTTGAATGTTCCTCCATAGGTTTAGTGACCTGTAATATTTTTGGTCACTCCATTTCAACTAACCAGCCCTGGTAATTTCTCTTTCTCCTAAACTCTAAATTTCCCCTCTGAATTCTCACTCTGATCCCTATTGCTCATGTAACAGTGGGTGGCATGGCATAGTCTAAAGCTACTGATGTAATCCCACAATTCCTTTTGATGTCCCTACTGTAGCTTAAAAAGCCATGCAGATTTTATATTCTACTACCATATATAAAATCTGTGTTTGTCTCATAAAAATAATGCCTTAAGTCATTATCTAACAATATCTGTGTTTGTCTCATACTGAAATGTCTTCAGTCACTTGCCAGCTAATTAAAGACAGGAAGTCTGCCCTTCCTGTCTTTAAGGAAAACTGGCACGCCAGGTACAAGTGTCAAGTTGACCAGGTGTCTTTATCATCCCCTTCACACAACCTCAAACCTTTTTGGGGGAACAGAAGGCTCGGTTGAGAAGGAAGACATTTGATGGTTGGCATTCAAAACATTGACATTTATGGGTTTGACCCTTCTCAAAAGACCCTGAAGATTCATGATGCAAAGAAATCTTTAGTGTTGCTGGGGCCTGTGAATTAGACTTGCAAACTTGTATTTTTAGGCCAGTAGTTGGAAGCAAGCCCCTTAGACAGGGAGGGGCCTAGGCAGCAGCCCAGCATGCACATCTTAAGGTCATTTCCTTATTCTCTAGTTGTCAGGCTCCCAACTCTTGGGTAGGTAGGGACACTCAACAAGGTCAAAGGCATACCCGTATGTCCTCCCAAATTTCTCTCCAGCCCCAACATATGATCAATACCTCTAAGCTAAGCCAGTTGCTTTGTACTCCCATGCTGTCCTTGGATTCATGTAACCCCACCATCTTAAAAACCCTGCAGTGACTTCCCATCACACTGAGAACAAAACCCAAACTCTCAACCGTGGCCTACAAGGCCTTAGGTGATCTGGCGCCTGCTTCCCTCTCTGACTTCATTCCTTGGCATTCTCTCCTCTGATCGCCTGGCCTCCCTGCTGTTCCGGAACAGGCCATGATGCTCCCGCACGTTGCCTGGCTTTGCACCGGCTTCCCGCTCTGCTCGTGGCTCCCTCCCGCATTTCACGCAGGGTTTCTCCTCAGAGGCTCTTTCCCTGACCACCTTCTCGGAAGAAAGCTCCCCTAGCACTCTGAAGCCTCTTGCTCTGCCTTCCTTTTTACAGCTCTTCTCTCTCCCTGGCTTCATAGAAGGTATTTCATATTTACTAGCTTACTGTTGGCCTCCCCAGCTTAGCAGGCAAGCACCCTATAGACAAGAATTTTCTCTCTGCTGCAGATGTTCCTTGAACATCTGGAAGCTCCGTGAACCCCCACGCAAGCCCAGATTGAACCGCTCTTGGCCACGCTGCCATGGGCTTGCCTGCCAAAAGTGATCCCAAACACAAAGGCAATCCACTTGGAACCAACCTGAAGCATTGTAGCAGTAGGTGTCATACTGGGAGGTGTTGGAGGTGAGGATGTACACCCCTGTGTTGTTTGCGGCACAGATGGGGTTGGGGTGGATGCGGGGAATCACCACGTGCCCTTCTATGAACCCGTACCTGCAAAAGAAACAGCAGCGGTTAGCCACCTGCAAGGCCGCGACGGTATTTCATCCCATGCCATCAAATGACATGTCATGCAGCGCAACGCTTCATTCAACTCACCCTGAAGAGATGTTTAAGGTTTCAGCCAGTGAGTTATGTGAAATCCAAAAATAACAGCAGAGGGAGCGTGAGAGGGATCAAGGCTGATAGAAACAAAGTGATTTCATTTAGGGCTCTATAAAGCTTTTCTTTTTTTCTTTTTTTTTTTAAAAGAGATTCGTGAAAGAAAATAGTTTCAAATAAAAGTTGTGGTCGAGTCAGTTTAGACAAGCAGAAGGAAGTCCAAGTCACAGAAGAGAAAAGAATGACCACTTTATGATGTGGATCCACGCACAGTGGCTCCCCATGACTTTCATACTTTTTCAGAAAATGCATAAAATGACCAGCTCCCTTAGGATAGAATTAGGTGGCTGATCACTTCAGCCCACAAATGTCAAATCTGCCTCATTTCCCATCCCCACGCTTCTCTCCCCGCCTCGCCTTTTCCTGTGATCCCTTCATTCCAAACTCCGTTACTCTCCACACGAAGGCTTGTTCATATGCCAGATATATGAGCGATTCGCCTCATGAGCATCCCAGGCAGGATTTCATTGCCAGGGGAAGTAAATTGACCGTCATTAAAATAGGAGTAACAGCAATTAAGTCAGTAGATAGCAATGCCTCATTTAGCTCAGGAATTTTCCAGAAGCATCACAGCCAGAGAAGCATTTAAACCGCTCTGCATCCCCCTCCCCCAAGGTATTTCTGGGAGCATGTTGGAGCTGGAGACCCTTTCAGATAAAACATACAGCACCCAGCCTCTTCCATCAGCATCATGGTGGCTACTCACTGCACAATTTCTCTGGGATATAAATGCCTCAAACAAAAAATTTGCAAGGGATGAGGTGGTAGCAGGGGAAAGGCAGAGAAGGAGAAGCTAAATCCAGCAGGTTTTTTGAAAAATGCAAAGCTAAGGCACAGCCTTTATCCTTTTAATCTCTCCTGATGGTAGCAGCAATAGTGCATGACCCTGCAAGACCCGTGGAAATGGCTGTGAGTTTGAAATTTCCAAGCACATAGAACTCATTAAGTCTATGTTGCAATTGCAGCTTGCATGACTAATTCCTCATCTAAACAGACAGACTGGTTTCTCCAAAGACTCTTTAGCTTGGTGGGGGGAGGGGTCGCAATTAAATGTCAGTAAGTTTCCATATATCTGAGAATTGCTACTAATCAGGGTGGGGCAGACAGCTACGGTTTTCTCATAGCCTGAGACTTTGCCATCTGTGCTATGGCACATAGCTGATTCATTGCTACCTAAGTGAAATTATGGAAATGAGTTTTGCAATGCTTACTTTCAGCTATGGGTGGAACCATAGATTTCTTTGGCATAGATTTCTTTTTTAAATGATAATGCCCGGTAAGCCTACTCCCATCCCATCCTTACTGCATGCACCAAGTCTGTTACACTGACAATCTAGAACAGCGGTTCTCAACCTGTGGGTCACGACCCCTTTGGGGGTCGAACGACCCTTTCACAGGGGTCGCCTAAGACCATCGGAAAATACATATATAATTACATATTGTTTTTGTGATTAATCACTATGCTTTAATTATGTTCAATTTGTAACAATGAAAATACATCCTGCATATCAGATATTTACATTACGATTCATAACAGTAGCAAAATTACAGTTATGAAGTAGCAACGAAAATAATTTTATGGTTGGGGGTCACCACAACATGAGGAACTTTATTAAAGGGTTGCGGCATTAGGAAGGTTGAGAACCACTGACCTAGAACCTACATTCCCTTGTTAAGTTATCCTTGAGTTTTTGCCACATCACGTCGATGGCTAGTTTTGTGTGTCACAGCTAGTTTTGTGTGTCACAGCTAGTTTTGGTGTCACACTGTACATCTGGGGATATTAACATTTACATGTGTGTATATTGCATGAGTAGGTTGCTGTTCACAGAGAGAAAAGAAATACTCAGCACATCCGTGCATCATACCTGCATCTCCCCTTTGCTCTCAGTCCTTCCTTGGGGTTTGGTCATTAAAATCTTGCCCTGGGCTCAGGCGAAGTAGGACCTGAATCTAGACTCCTCCCCATGCCAGTGACGTGGCCCAGGGTGAGCTGGGGAACTTCTCTGAGCTTTTGTTGCTTCACGCATAAGTAGGGTAATATAATCTACCGTGGAGCCCTTCGAGGGTTAAGTGAGGGGTTGTGGGCAAGTGCCCAGCATCTGTGCGCTCGCTGATGGGCAGTGGAAAGAGTAATAACTTCCCTCTTTTTCAGCCTAGGACAGCAGTTCTCAACCTGTGGGTCACGACCCCTTTGGGGGTCGAACGACCCTTTCACAGGGGTCGCCTAAGACCATCCTGCATAGCAGATATTTACATTACGATTCATAACAGTAACAACATGACCGTTATGAAGTAGCAACGAAAATAATTTTATGGTTGGGTCACAACATGAGGAACTATATTTAAAGGGCCAGAAGGTTGAGAACCACTGGCCTAGGAGAACATGTCTGTATTTTGTAAGTAGGCCTTGTCTGCATTTCACAATCAAAATTCAGCTCACTGAATCCACTCCCTTAGTGGACTTCTCTAGCTGACCTAGTCCCAGCCATGGTTGAACAATTAGTCTTGGGAATAGAACCAATGGATGTGCTAACCGGTGTTCCTTCATTGCAGACCACAGCGCAGGGTGAGCAGCCAGCAGAGCTCGCTCCCTGTCTCTGCTCCTTTCCTGTTCTCGCCAACGTATCTCTGAATGCATACAGATGTCTTCTACAGCCGCGCTCTGCTTTGGAGCAATGCTGCGCAATACAACTGTCTGTGATCACGGACACCGTCTGTAATCAATGTTGTCCCATACAGGAGCCACTAGCCATTTGTGGCTAGTTGAGCACTTGAAATGTAGATTGCTGCAAGTTACTGTTTAAGACATAAAGGTTTTCCTTTTGAGCAAGAGCCTCCGCTACCGCTCATAAAGTGGGTATCTTACTCTCTAACCAAGGGCGGAGATTGATGTATTGAATGTTCCTGGTGTCATTCCATGGCAAAAGCACAGAAGGGGTAGCGGTGGACTGGGATGGAAACCGAGCAGTTGTTCAGATGACTTAGAGTGTGTCTAGTGAAGACCAACCAAAGCATACACTTCACTGTGGCCTTCACCACAGCTTGCTCTTAAAGTGCACCCCTCGACCGAGGGTTTGAGGAAAGCTCCACGGAGCACGTGGTCTCCAGAGAAGCCTCTCAGGAGGCCCTCCTGAGTGAGTCCCTCCGTTCTTTCCCAGTCGCTAGTAATTTGTCTTAATAATTTTCATGCCCCCCCTTTTTTCAACCCTCTCAAACTAAAGCAACATAGAAGAAAGAAACAAACAGAAAGAGAAGGTTGCTTGAAAAATCTGCTTTAAGCCAAGTCTGCAGGGCCTAGACTCCGCCAGGCACATATTTATTTTAATCCCTGTTATTTGGTTTACGTTTTCTTGTGGTTCCGACAATAATATTGCACGTTTCTTCAAAGCCAGGAGAGCGCCATGTGGAAGCATGGCAGGCATTGGGATTCTGGCTGTTGACCCTTAATGGCCTCCTCTGGGCAGCCCCGCTATCATTTACAAGGGTGTCTTTAGAGGGCTTTAAATTTCAGCTGTCAGGCAAGTTCCAGATTGACGTGCCAAATTAATAGGTGAGGCCAATAGGCAATCATCCAATCAGATACCAGGGAGAAGCCTTCCCGGTGCTAAGCCCCACCCCCTCGGCCAAGGCAGCCAGCGCTCTCAGTGGGCTCTCTCACCTGCAGGTCTCAAACCCCGCTCGCCAGGCTTCCTCCATCTGGGCCATGGTGGGCAGGGTGCAATCGAAAGCCTTGCAGAGGTCAGCTGCCTCAGTCCGTGAGATGCTGTAGCGACCATTTTTCTCCACATGGAATACACCTGCGTACCGGCAGGTTACATTCAAATCTATGGGATGGAACAAGAAATGTTAATATTCGTTTGCATACATAATGAGGGAGGGGTAAGAAGTTTGTTTTTGAGCAGCCTCGTTCAAAAAGCCAAATAAACTTCTCTACTGCTCCAACATTCCAAAGCACCATCACACTAGGCTCAAGTCTGAGCTAAGACACAATTAAGTCCCATCACTCCTTCTCTACTGCTCCAACATTCCAAAGCACCATCACACTGACTAGGCTCAAATCTTAGCTAAGACACAATTAAGTCCCGTCACTCTGACTTCCTCTCCATCAATTGCTGCACAACAAACTCCTTTAAAAGCATATGATTGGGAGCGCTGCTAACCACGTTGGGTTTGGCGCTGCTTGCTTGAAATCGAATTTTGCTCAAACAAACTCTTAAAATGTTGAATAAGCCTCAGTTTGTCTCTAATGGCACCGCCACTTTAAAAGGCCATTTGACGGGTTTCTTACAAAACGAAGCATTCTCTTACTATTTGATTCAGCGATCACACTGCTGGGTAGTTCCACAAAGGAGTTGAGAACTTATGTCTACACAAAAACCTACACACAGCTGTTTGTTCACAATTGCCAAACTTTACAATCAACCAAGATGTCCCTCAATAGGTGAATGAGTAAGTAAAAATAAAAAGCACATGACTTATGTCTGATTATTAAAGCAATACAAACTTGTTGAAAACTTACAAAATTCTGGAAAGTAAGGAAGGAAAAGCCAGTCCACCACTAAGAAAGCATGGCTAACTAACATTTTAAACATTTTGTTGCATCTTCTTTTAGTTTGTTTTCTGATATGTGTATGTGTGTTTCTAGTTAAAAATAATACTAAATATACAATTTTAGATTTGGGAGTCTTTTCTCCCCACTTAATCTTATATTACGTGCATTTTCCCACAATCATGTGGTCTTGCTCCCTTGCTTAGAATCTCCACTGGCTTCCGGCTCCACCCAGAATAAATAAGATCTTATCTGCTGATAAGATCTACGTGTTCTGGCTCCTATCTCCCTCTCTAAACTTTAAGTAGCTCACTCTGCTCCAGGTACAGAGCTTCCCTTCAGTTCCTTTGGGCATTCTGGGCTCTTTCCCACCTTCCAACATTTACATCTGCCTTTCCCTCTGTCTGGAATGTTCTGTCCTCGGATTATCCCATTCTTGTTTGTGAACTCCACATCACCTCTTAGCGTCCTTCCCTGAACACTCTAATTCAACTCACGGGGCCTCCCTCACCTCACCTGGCGTTTGTGTCTTCACAGCAACGTGTTTATTTATTTGTGCGTTTAGTTATTATCCATCTGCCCTTTCTGAGATGGAAGCTCCAAAAAAAAAAAGGAAAGGCCTTCCACGGGTTTACAGCTGTGTTCTAATGCCCACAACAGTACTTGACAGAGAGGGGATGCTCAACGAATATTGTTGAATGAGTGAACGACTCATTGAAACATCTTCAAAAACACACTTGTAACATCTTGACAGATAGGTCTAAGGCCTGATGTTTGCTCCCAAGAGTTAACGACATCCCCTAGGAAACCTAACTGCTATTCGTTGGTGAAAGTGATCTGAGCCAAGGACTTCTGGGAGTTTTGCAGATATTAATCTGAAATCTCAATAAGGATCCTCTGGTTCCATAGAATCCTCTGTAACAATCTCAAAAGACTGAAAAGGGCTTCATTGAAAACTCATTATTTTTCTGGAACTGTTATCCCGGTGTGCACTTGAGTAAGCTCCAACACCGAAAGGTTACGTTATTGACACCGTCCTGGTGAAGCCTAATTCCTCCTGAGCACTTCCTTGAGCCTCCAAGACAGGAGGACTCTTGGACTCATGCCGACAGTTCCTTGGGGACTGGTGGACCTTGTGCCAGACCAGGCATCACTGTGTTAGTTATGAGCCCGGTCTGGATTCCAACAGATCTGGCTTTAACGCAAACTCTCTCTCTCATGTGTGCAGGTCTGCAGATCATCCGGAAGATTCTGCATATTAATCAGCAAGAACATTGAGACTCAGAGAACTGAGTTGCCCAAGGAAGTGAGGATTTCCGTCTCAAGCCTGTAGTCACTTTCCAGAATCTCAGGTGCTTTGTTCTATACTCTGAGCCAATAGCCCAGGTAGGGGAAGCCCACTACTGCATTGTCCCTGGGTACCCGGAACCTCTGGGGTTCTGTGTTGCATCAGCTTCCGAGAACCCCGGGGGGGGGGGCTGTTTTTAATGTATATCTGTACATATTACTTATAGGTGGAAAAACTAAAGCTCAGAAAAAGTCCTCTGGGGTTCTGTGTTGCATCAGCTTCCGAGAACCCTGGGGGGAGGGGTGTGTGTGTGTTTAATGTATATCTGTACATACTACTTATAGGTGGAAAAACTAAGGCTCAGAAAAAGGAAGCAACTTTCCCAGCTATTAAGTGGCAGAGCTGGAATTTCATCTTAGGTCTGTTTAGATATCAAACCCCTGTTCCAAACCACCTTGCCACTTGCCCTAGGATCCTGTGTTATTAGAACAATATTTCGCTCTGAAGGAGAGAGGAACGCCTACGCTACTGGGACATGAGAGCAGAGAGAGGGTCAGTATGATTGAGCTGTACAGGCAACAAGGACTCTCTCCTTTCTGAGCAGGAAGCAGGTTCCCACCCCTAGAAAACAGTGTCAGACAAATGCAAAGTGTGGTGACAAGTGAACTGTTAAACTTCTGTATGCCCTTTCCTGACTCGGGAAACAGTGAGAGAAGAAACAAGCAATGACGCTTTGAAAAGACATAGTAGTAAAGCCTATCTCAACTGGTGTTCCTTGCCTTTGTTTGTATCATGAACATGGAGGTGCTTTAAAAAACTTCAGAAGTAGGAGAAATGGAGAACATGTGTTTTGGTGTGAGATTCATTAACACAGCACGTGGTTGATGAAGCAAAAGGAGCAGAGAGGAGGGAACCGCACAAGGCCCTTTTGAAATACTGTTTGTTTTTACGGACATTTTCAGCTTTGGCGTCTGTTGGCCAATCTTAGCAAAGGGAACCCGTCACGCTGGGTGGCAGCCCTTTCGGGGGCTCTCCTTGTCTAGCCCATCAAGGAAAAACAAAGCTCCCCATTCGAGAGGAACGCCTACACTACTGGGACATGAGAGCAGAGAGAGGGTCAGTATGATTGAGCTGTACAGGCAACAAGGACTCTCTCCTTTCTGAGCAGGAAGCAGGTTCCCACCCCTAGAAAACAGTGTCAGACAAATGCAAAGTGTGGTGACAAGTGAACTGTTAAACTTCTGTATGCCCTTTCCTGACTCGGGAAACAGTGAGAGAAGAAACAAGCAATGACGCTTTGAAAAGACATAGTAGTAAAGCCTATCTCAACTGGTGTTCCTTGCCTTTGTTTGCATCATGAGCATGGAGGTGCTTTAAAAAACTTCAGAAGTGGGAGAAATGGAGAGCATGTGTTTTGGTGTGAGATTCATTCCTTTTTGTCTGTAACGGTGTCCCCCTTAGCCAGTCACACAGTACGTGGCTGATGAAGCAAAAGGAGCAGAGAGGAGGGAACCACACAAGGCCCTTTTTGAAATACTGTTTGTTTTTACAGACATTTTCAGCTTTGGCGTCTGTTGGCCAATCTTAGCAAAGGGAACCCGTCATGCTGGGTGGCAGCCCTTTCGGGGGCTCTCCTCGTCTAGCCCATCAAGGAAAAACAAAGCGTCCCCATTCGCTTCTTGGAGGCGAGGCTGGGAGGGGAGACTTCAGTAGATGGCAGGAGAGGCCCACTGCCTGTCCGTGCTCAGCCAGGCGGCTGCTGTCATTCCCGGGTTAAAAAGAAAGGCTGAGGCGTGGCGGTGGTTTGGCGCTCCATGGCAGTTTCTGTCTTATTAAAATAGATTCTAGTTTGCTACCTGGCACACAGATATGCAAATGCAACAGGAACCAATTCAGGTTGAGACTTTAGAATAAAACCCTTCGTGCCACAGCCAATGTAACTTGACAGACAATACCCGCATGCATTGTGTGCGTGTGTCTATATGTGTGTATGCAAGTAGTGGTGTGTGGTTGTGTGTACTCTGCTCAGCCAGGACAGGAAGAAACAGGTAAACTTAATCTTCAGCCCCAGGTTGAAACAAGGTCTGACAGACAGTAGGCATCAGCCAAGGGCTGCCAAATGAATGAAGAGATTCTATGCAAATGTGAAAATTCCATAGCCTACACTTATCTTAATCTCATGAAAAAGTCCAACTCTTAATCCTGACGGCATTCGGCCATCTGGAATTGCGAAGATGGTGCCAAAACTTCATTTTAGGTCAACTAGCCCATGAGTGTTCACAGTTAGTTCCCTCTGGGTCCTTCGTACGTTAAAAGAAACCAGACCTTCAGGGCTGTGTGTCCTTCCAGTCCTGATAACTTATGATGACTTCCCAAAGGGCTTCCTTAACACTTATGCCAACCAAAATTCTTACTCCAAAGGGTATTGTTAATAGTACCAACGGCAATAACACAATAAATACATCTTGTGTGTTTATTATGTATATGCTGGGCACTATTCTAAGCACTTTATAAGGACTGACTCATTTTACCCTTAAAACAACCCTAGGAAATGGGTTCCATTATTATCCCCACTTTCCAGATACAGAGACTGAGGCACAGAGAGGGGGAAAACATGCCCAGGTTCCCAGAGCTGGCAATGATGGAGCTGGGATTCAAATCCAGCCAGTCTGGCACCAAGAGTCCACAGGCTTATCCACTACTTAACTGTACACTTGATTTAAGGAACTTTTTATGGCCTCTCAGCCCCCAATGTATGGCTGCTAATATTCCATGGCAGTTTCTAAGTAAAGTTAGAGCAAGGCTGAGGCGTGAGTAGCCATGGACCACAGATCACTGGCGAGCCCCAGTGTCTGTGGCAATGGTATTGGCCACGCTGCAAACCCTGCAGACACACAGGACTCCTGAGATGTCTGTACGCCTCTCCTGAGAAACAGAGGCCCCTGTGATTAGGGATCTGCTGTGACTCAAGAGGCTAATAGCAACTG